GGACTTCCATATGATGTCAAAATGAGCCTAGGAACGAAAATTGTGAAAAATTTTGGTTTACTTGTCGGCACCGCCTCGCGGCGTTTGACTTTTTTACGCATCGAAATTTTCGGCGTCTTATTTTTCTAGATTATTAATTAGTTGAAGCTTATCTTAGCTAAGTAAAACTATAGTGTCAATAAATAGGAATTATTTTTTTTTTAATATGGAAAAGAAAGCTAGACCGGGCCGAGTTCTAGTAAAATGCTCATTATGTGGATAACAAGGACTAGAAAAAAATGCATGAGGAAAATATTCACAGTGCAAATTTGGTTAAAATTAAAATTGTTACTGTTCCGGATAATGCACTTACATTGGCATCAAATCAAAAAAATAGAGAACAAGAATCAATCCCATCGACTTCGAAAGAGCATGCTAATGGTAGGTAAAGACATTCTTTATCTACACTTTACAACACTTTACATTCATGATAAAACTACTGAAAATTTTTACTATTACTACTAAAGTATCGATAAAAAAATAAGTTGGTTTTTTATCGTCTTCACCCCCCCCCCCAAAAGTGTGCCTCGGTACGGCCCTGGTTTCTAGGATGACATACATTCTGGGAACATCCTTAAGTCGTTTTTAGTATGTTATATTTTATATTCCTAAATGACTTTTAGAAAGGTTTGAAATAATTCGAAAATTTTCAAAATAAGTTTTATTTTGAAAGGACACAGTTTATGCAGACAAACAGGCACCAATACCATTACTACCTAAAGCTTGCAGCTCGTTATTTCTTAACTTGTTAATTAATTTGTAAATACAAATACTTAACTGTAATAATGTTTAAATACTTAAAACATATTTAATTTAAAGTAAAAAACTGAAATACTGTAAATACTCAGTTAATATAAATAAATAATATAAAAGGAAACAAATAAGCACCCCAAAGACCTTTAAGGAACCAAATACCCCAGCTACATAAAATTCTAAAAGTATAATGAATATATTATATACCTATAGCTAAAATTAAACATTTAATTCAATTTTTTTTATTTCTCCTCTTAACATCTTTCTTTTGCCCTTCTTAACCAATCTCCAATTCGTTGCTCAGCCTCTTTGTAATTAATTGAATGCTCATATTTCTGTGCACATTCTGAAATAAAAATTATATTGTTAAGAAAAAGTTTCTGGGTAACTACCAACATAGAAACATGACCCACTCAGCTGTGGGTTCGATGCTTCTATAGTTGGATAAAAAAAAATTGGAAATATTCTTTTATTTTAAGTGGGGTAAAAAAATATAAAAAAAATCTGCAAAATCAAAAGGGGTTGGGTTTAAAAGTCTATTTTTATTTACCGATTATCGCTTTGACTAATGATAAGCTTCCAAACATAGTTTTTCCTTTTTTCCCTAAGAAGGAGAACTGTTCATCTAGACTATCTGTAATTATGGGTGCAAGACATCGTCTTATAAATTCATAGATTCCAAGTTGTGAAAAAAACTGAACCTATAAATCAGAAAAAGAAACTATACCCACTATAGAAAAAGAAACTATACTCACTAATGTAACTTTATGAAAATTCTAGGATAATGGATAAAAAAGAAATTACCAATGCTGAATAATTTTCAGAATCTGAAAGGAAGTTTTCAAAAACTTCCTTACGATATTCTGCTCCACATTTTCCCACTTTGGAATTAATTTCTAATAACAGAGACTGTATATAATATATATTATATAACAGTTGTGGATTGCAACAACAACTAGTACCTGTTTTGAATGTTTCACCTAAAATGCATTCATTAGGTACACTAACAGTTTTATGAACAGCTCAGAAAACTTACCTATACTAATGGAATAGGGCTCTTTTTGGAAAAATTACTGCCTGCTTGGAAATCTGTAACAGTGAAATTTAATTAGTATTGACATAAAAGTAATAAACAGAACAACATTAATTAAATACATTATAAATAATATTATACTACCTTCCAAATTACTGCACTTTTCTTCAACAAGCTAAGAGATATCCAAGTTGGTGGAGGAGGTAATTTTTTGGATTTTTGCCTAGAGGCTCCTCGTTTTCCTAGTCAGAATATTATAATAATCCAGCAAGTCTGAGAGACTCTATGTCACCGTTAAAGTAAAACTTTTTCATGTCACCAGTTATACATACATACCTATATACATTAAACATTAACATTTATATCAATCTTTACCTTCTAAACAATTTCCTTGGTAAAATTGTCATAAAACTCCTATACTCTCATACTCCATACAAAAATAACTCTCCATGAGTGCTGGATAACACCAAGATACACAATATGTGTATACCTATAGGTACCTATATCTTGCAATTTATTCCAATAATTATCATTGTATATTTGTATTTTCCGATATTCTAAAAAAGGGGATTTTATATTTATCTGTATTTTTGTTTGATGCTGCTTTGGCAATGGAATCCACCCTTTCATTCAAAACAATCCCTGAATGACCTTTTCCACCACAATTTTCAATTTTGCATATCTGTTTCAGAAGTACCTACTTTTCTTTGACCGAAATCTTGTTTGAACGAAAGTAGGTGAATCTCATTTAAGAAAATACGATTTTTTATGTAAAATGTGAACGAAGCCTTACGCCTTTGACGTTTCAAAAACAACGTTGCCACACATTTTAGACCCATCGCGCTTTTAAATTTTAGACCCATCGAGTTTAGATCTCTCGTGTTTGGGTGTCACGAAGCGTACCCATTGAAACCAAGACCATTAAGGCCGTAGGCCACCAAGGATGAAGAAGAAGAAGATTCCGCTATTGGGTCAAACACAGCAGGTGGCGCTGATGAAGTGTAAACCCAAGAAGACTTGCCTTTTTTTTAAAAAAAAAAACTGAAAATTTAACATAAGCATAACCTACCTTTTTTAATATAATATAATACGGTTCACTTATCCAGCGGACCGCTGCAGAAGCAAATAAAGAGGAAATATAAACTTTTACGGATATGTACTATGCTCCACACTTCAAAGTCCCACCACGTGACCAGGTACGGAACGCAGTCTTTTGAAAATTTGTCATTTAAGGCTTTTCAGGTTATGTATCTGTCAAAGTATAGTCAATGAAAGAAATAATATTTATACTGTTACAGTTTATGTTTAGGCGTTAAAAGTTTATAAATCTTTATAGTATCACAGTAACAATGGTTGGTTTAAGAGTTTAGGAGTATAAATACTGCATTTAATGAAATTCTAAAGTGTATAGTGCCAAATAAGTAAAATTTTTGTGCATTTGGTCTACATAATATGTTAATATATTATATCTGGTTTTATCTAAACGGCATTTATTAAAAAAATCTAGCTTCTCTATTATGGAATAAGAATATCTGTATCAAAGGTAGGTTAATATATTATAACAAAAAATATCATCTAATTTTAAAATTTTAAGGTTAGAAAAATCTATTTTGATCAAAATAAATAAGTATTTTGGATTATTTGGAAGAGTGTGTTAATATGGTCATATAAATATAGATATACTAAATAATTGTTGAATATGGTTCAAATTAAATTAAAGCTTTTATACTCACAACAACTAAACTTGTGCATACCTCTTGGGATCCCTACTTTAAGTTAGATTATAAGGAAACAAACAATTTTTAGAGATACATGCAATGTAAAAATATATAATACTCCCAAAACATGTGATTTTTGAAATTTTTAAAAGTTATAATGATTTTTCGATGAATTTAAAATTCAGTTGAAGCTTTATACGTAATTGTATTGACAAAACTTTAAGTAGGTATACTTTAAGCTGGAAAGACTACTACAAGTAAAAATATTAGATAGAGTGTACTGTGGTTTTATTTAAATTTTATAATTTATAAGGTTATTTATACCTAATGATTGTTCGATGTAGATAAAATTTTGTCGAAGCTTTTATAGGTACTTGTATTGACATTATGGGTATATTAGCTGACAGTGTAAGCCTAGGAGTGTAAGAAACTTTAAGAAGGTTAGCTATTGAATTTCCAAAAACACTTGTAAAAACAATTTACAGTTACAGTACCTACCTAATGGTTTTATACTAATATACCCATAGTGTCAATACAAGTACCTATAAAGCTTCGACAAAATTTTATCTACATCGAACAATCATTAGGTATAAATAACCTTATAAATTCTAAAATTTAAATAAAACCACAGTATACTCTATCTAATATTTTAACTTGTAGTAGTCTTTCTTATCCAGCGTAAAGTATACCTACATAAAGTTTTGTCAATACAATTACGTATAAAGCTTCAACTAAATTTTATCTTCATCGAAAAATCATTATAACTTTTAAAAATTTCAAAAATCACATGTTATGGGAGTATTAAATATTTTTACATTGCATGTATCTCTAAAAATTGTTTGTTTCCTTATAATCTAACTTAAAGTAGGGATCCCAAGAGGTATGCACAAGTTTAGTTGTTGTGAGTATAAAAGCTTTAATTTAATTTGAACCATATTCAACAATTATTTAGTATATCTATATTTATATGACCATATTAACACACTCTTCCAAATAATCCAAAATACTTATTTATTTTGATCAAAATAGATTTTTCTAACCTTAAAATTTCAAAATTAGATGATATTTTTTGTTATAATATATTAACCTACCTTTGATACAGATATTCTTATTCCATAATAGACAAGCTAAATTTTTTTAATAAATGCCGTTTAGTTAAAACTATTTAATGGATAAAACCAGATATATGTAGACCAAATGCACAAAAATTTTACTTATTTGGCACTATACACTTTAGAATTTCATTAAACCAACCATTGTTACTGTGATACTATAAAGATTTATAAACTTTTAACGCTTAAACATAAATGGTAACAGTATAAATATTATTTCTTGCATTGACTATACTTTGACAGATACATAACCTGAAAAGCCTTAAATGACAAATTATCAAAAGACTGCGTTCCGTATGTGGTCACGTGGTGGGACTTTGAAGTGTGGAGCATAGTACGTACAAATTCTACATAGTTATTTGTCCACGTAGGTATCAAGAGAACAATTTGAACCGACCATTTAAGCCTGATTTGTAGATTGCCTTCCTTCCTCCCGTAGAAGATGAACAATACAATCCCGTACGGAAATCTATAAAAGGCACTACGATTTTCGTATCGGTTATCTTTTACGGGAGGAAGGAAGGAAGACAATAAATAAATCAGGCTTTAATACTATTATTAACTTGCAAGATACATACAACTTGGTATCACTTTTTGTTTTGCTTAAACTGGCAACACTTTTTGTTTTGCTTAAACTGGCAACACTGTGCACAAAATTAGTTTTGTAGGGTTATGTTTCCTTATATTGTGATATGTTAACTTGAAATGGGCGTAAATTACCGTAAAGAAATCATTGCATATTAATAAGTGTAACATTTAAAATGGAAGATTTTACTTGTCCAAGATGCAGGACATCGAAATTTCAAAACCCATCACTAAAAATGATGGTCAATGTTTGTGGACATGGTTTATGCGAAAGTTGTGTGGAATTACTGTTTTTAAAGGGTAACATATTATGTAAATTTCATTGGACTTTTTATTTTAAAATAAATATTTTAGGATCTGGTTCTTGTCCTGAATGTAGAATTCCCTTAAGAAGAAATAATTTTAGAGTGCAACTATTTGAGGATCCTGCAGTTGAAAAAGAAGTTGATATAAGAAAAAGAGTACTTAGAGATTTTAATAAAAAAGAAGATGATTTTGAATCATTATTGGACTTTAATAATTACTTGGAAAAAGTGGAAACAATAATCTACAATTTAACAAATAATATTGATATTATAGATACAAATAAAAAAATCGAGCAATACAAAAAGGATAATAAAGAACAAATTCAAAAGAGTAAAAATAAGTTGGGTAGAGAAGAATATGAGTTGGAAGAAATGTTGGAAATGGAAAAACAAATAGAGCAAGCAAGAAAACAGGAAATCCAGCAAGAGGAAATTGAAGCTAAAAAAAAGAAAATTCGTGAAAAAGAAGCACTTTTAGATGAATTAATGTTTTCAAACGCAAATGCTCAAAATATCCTTGAAACATTTGCTCAACAAGCCAAAGAAGCACAGGTTGAAAAAGCTAAAGCTCCCCCAAAATCGTCTCATTTCTCAACAGGCATCAAAATTGGGGGAACATCTCACAATCCATTTATGGTTCCAATTGATGAAGGTCCTCTATATCAATACAAATCAGTTACAATTCAAACCAATGGTCCTGAACCACCTAATGATGAAGAAATTGTTAGTAAAGGTTTTATTAACCATGTCAGATCAGAAACAGAGCAAGAAAGAGCTGGAGGGTTTAAATCTAATATTGCATGCAAAAGGGCTCTGCAAGATGCACTTTTGGGGTTGTATCATACTAGGACATCTTTTGCTTAAGTAATATTTGTATTATAAATAAGTTTCTTTTGTATAATAAATTTTTTTTCCAAAAAATTATAATTTTTTAAGCATAATCTTCTATATTTTGGCGTTTTAATAAAATGTACATTATAGCGTGCATATCATGTTGGCAAACCCATGCAAATTGTTAAAATAAAGAAGCATTTTTTCAGAAGATTTCTAATGAAACCATTTTTAAACATTCTGTATATTCCCGGACAACAATCGGGATTTCCTGGTGAAGTCATTATGATATCACAACGTGATTTTTTTTATCACGCTGTCAAAAATATTCTTCTTTTATTGGGTTATACATTAAATAAAAAAAAACGCAAGAAATATTTTTTGAAAGTAGATATAATTTTAATAATTGAAAGGTGTGGACGGGACAAAAAAAAGATTTATCTTGTCCCGTCCACCCCTGTCAAATATTGAAATTATCTCTACTTTTATAAAATATTTCTTGCGATTTTTTTTATTTAATGTATACCTAGCCTAATAATAGAAGAATATATTTGACAATTTTGATGCAAAAATAATATATAATAAATTACCTACAATTTTTTTTATAAAAACAGTTTTGTGATTTGTCCCGTCCATCCTAGCCTAATAATAGAAGAATATATTTGACAATTTTGATGCAAAAATAATATATAATAAATTACCTACAATTTTTTTTATAAAAACAGTTTTGTGATTTGTCCCGTCCATCCGCTTGAAATGGCCGATTTGCAAAATTTGCGCATGCGTATGAGCCCTGTGAACTGCGAATTTAAAATCTACCCGGACAACATTCGTGATGGCACAAAAAATCATGTCGTGATTTTTTATAACATCAAGAGAAAAATTATGTTGAATCAACAGTTCTTGCGGTTAAATAAATTAATTATTTTCTTGGATTTAAATTAACTATATATAATTAATTTAAATCCAAGAAAATAATGAATGTTAAACTGTTGATTCAATTGTTAACATACTTTTTCTTTCAATGTCCGAATGTGTCGCAAAAATGAATATCCAAACACCGATGGCATAAAAAATCAATTCGTGATTTTTTATGACCAAACACCGATGGCATAAAAAATCATGTCGTGATTTTATATGCCATCGGTGTTTGGATATTTATTTTTGCGCCACATTCATACATTGAGAGAAAAGGTATACCTACATATATGTATCAACAGTTTTTGAGGTTAAATACATTCAATATTTTTTTGGATTTAAATTAATAGTTAATTTACATCCAAGAAAATATTAAATGTATTTAACCGCAAAAACTGTTAATTCAATTGTTAACATACATTTTCTCACAACCCTGCTGAAAATGACGGATAATTGCGGATATAAATTCTTCGTCGAAACCGGATAAAAGCAGATGATTGCGGGTATAAATTCTTCGTCGAAGCCGGATAAAAGCAGATAAAAGCGGGTAAAAATATCATCTGATAACATCTGCTTTTGTCCGCATCGCTATATCCGCGAACACCCGGTTGGTTGTGTTTTATGTCCGGTTAGTGCACCCCTGCAATCATCTGTTTTTAACCGTCTTCACTGTGTTTCGTTTATATCTGAATTTGTCCGGAATCACCTGCAAACGTCTGCTTACGTCTGGTTTTATGCATTTTTTTGTCTGGTTTTATCCGCGAGCATATGCTTTTACCCGCAAACGTCTGCCTAGTCCAATTTCACCCGCCAACATATGCTTTCATCCGCGAACATCTGCAATCACCCACGAACAACTGGTTTTATCCGCGAACATCTGCAATCACCCGCGAACATCTGCTTTTACCCGCGAACGTCTGCTTTCATACGTTTTCACCCGCAAATTTGCTTATGCTTATATCTGCGAACGCCTGATATCATCCGGTTAGTGCACCCCCGCATCCACCCGCAAACATCTGCAATCATCCGCGAACATCTGATTTTATCCGCCAACATCTGCTTTTATCCGCGAACATCTGATTTCATCCACGAACATCTGCAGTCACCCGCGAACAACTGCTTTTATCCGCGAACATCTGCAATCCCCGCGAACATCTGCAATCACCCGCGAACATCTGCTTTTATCCGCAAACGTCTGGTTTTATCCGCAAACATCTGCTTTCATACGGTTTCACCCGCAAACATCCTTTTATCTGCGAACGCCTGATTTCATCCGGTTAGTGCACCCCCGCAAACATCTGCTTTTATCCGCAAACATCTGCTTTTATCCGCCAACATCTCATTTTATCCGCGAACATCTGCTTTCATCCGCAAACATTTGCTTTTATCCGCAAACATCTCATTTTATCCACGAACATCTGCTTTCATACGGTTTCACCCACAAACATCTGCTTTTATCAGCAAACATCTGCTTTCATCCGCAAACATCTGATTTTATACGCAAACATTTGCTTTTATCCGCAAACATCTGATTTAATCCGCAAACATCTGATTTTAATCGCAAACATCTGATTTTAATCGCAAACATCTGATTTTATCCGCAAACATCTGCATTTATCCGCAAATATCTGCTTTTATCCGCGAACATCTGCAAACATCTGATTTAAATTGCAAACCTCTGCTTTCATCCGCGTTCGGTTTGCCTGCATTTCCTTTGTCCATTTCGGTTCTGTTTCGTACGCAAACGTCTGGTTTCATTCGCGCTTTTTATTTTCCTTTTTCTCGTGTATACTTTAGTTTACCTGCTTTGTCAAATTTTACTGAGCTTTAATTAACTGGTTGTTAGCCGTTCAAGGAATTATTTGAATAAAAACAACCTGTAAAGGAAATAAGTTTATTCAACAAGACATTTTCCCAATGGGAAAATAATTTAATTATATTCACCAGATTTAAATTTAAAAATCAGGTATACTATATTGAAGAGTACCACAGACATAATAAGTTTATTAATTCTTACATATATATTAAAAATATTGGTTATGCCAAAATTAAAAAGTTAGATGAAAAATTCTACGCCAAAATAAGTGTTTTTTAAACAAATTCCATACAAATTGAAATTAAACATATATATGTTTTCTAACAATTAATTTAAATGTAAGCTTAATGATTAAAAAATGTCTATTTATGTCTTTTAACAAAGACCTTATTTTTATTTTACCAAATAATATTGAAGTTCAATAAACTTATTTCCTTTACAGGTTGTTTTTATTCAAATAATTCCTTTTAGAGTTATAAAGTTGTGTGCCGTAAACGGCTAACAACCATGGTTAGTTAAAGCTCAGTAAAATTTGACAAAGCAGGTAAACTAAACTAAAGTATACACGAGAAAAAGGAAAACAAAAAGCGCGAATGAAACCAGACGTTTGCGTACGAAACAGGACCAAAATGGACAAATGAAATGCAGGCAAACCGAACGCAGATGAAAGCAGAGGTTTGCAATTAAAAGCAGATGTTTGCAGATGTTCGCGGATAAAAGCAGATATTTGCGGATAAATGCAGATGTTTGCGATTAAAATCAGATGTTTGCGGATAAAATCAGATGCTTGCGGATAAAAGCAGATGTTCGCGTATAAAATCAGATGTTTGCGGATAAAAGCAGATGTTTGCCGATAAAAGCAGATGTTTGCGGATAAAATCAGATGTTTGCGGATAAAATCAGATGTTTGCGGATAAAAGCAGATGTTTGCAGATTAAAATAGATGTTTGCGGATGTTTCGAGATTAAAACAGATGTTTGCGTATAAAAGCAGATGTTTGCAGATAGAATCAGATGTTTGCGGATTAAAGGAGGCGTTCGCGGATAAATGCAGATGTTTACGGATAAAGGCAGAAGTTTGCGGATTAAAGCAGACGTTCACAGATAAAAGCAGATCTTCGCGGATAAAAGCAGATGTTTGCAGGTGAAATCGGATGAATCAGACTTTTGCGGACTAAATTAGATGTTTGCAGATTAAACATATGTTTGTGGATTAAATCAGATGTTCAAAGATAAAAGCAGATCTTTGCGGATATAAGCAGATGTTTGCAGGTGAAATCGGATGAAGCAGACTTTTGCGGACTAAAGTAGATGTTTGCCAATGAAATCAGATGTTTGTGGATTAAAATAGATGTTCGCGGATGAAAGTAGATTTTCACGTATAAAAGCAGATGTTTGCAGGTGAAATCGGATAAAGCAGACGTTTGCGGATAAAATCAGATAAAACCGGGTGAATGCAGATATAAATCCAAATACAGGTATTTGCGGATGAAACCAGATGAAAGCAGACATAGAACTAAATTGCAGATAAAAACCGACATGCCGGGTAAAATCAGATATGTCGGATGAAAACAGATATAAATGGACATAAAACTAGCTTGGCTTTTTATCCGCAATCATCCGATATTACCCGCCTTTTTCAGCAGGGAATGTACGAATGTGGCGCAAAAATAAATATCCAAACATGTCGGTGCACCGATGGCATAAAAAATCTTGTCGTGATTTTTTATGCCCAAACACCGATAGCATAAAAAATCATGTCGTGATTTTTTATGCCATCGGTGTTTGGATATTTATTTTTGCGCCACATTCGTACATTGGGAGAAAAAGTATACCTACATATAGGTATATTGAATCAACAGTTTTTGTGGTAAAATACATTAAGTATTTTTTTGGATTTAAATTAATAGTTAATCATCCAAGAAAATATTAAATGTATTTAACCGCAAAAACTGTTAATTCAATTGTTAACATACATTTTCTCAAAATGTACAAATGTGGCGCAAAAATAAATATCCAAACATGTCGGTGCACCGATGGCATAAAAAATGCCCAAACACCGACAGCATAAAAAATCATCCCTGCTGAAAATGACGGATGATTGCGGATATAAATTCTTCGTCAAAACCGGATAAAAGCAGATGATTGCGGGTATAAATTTTTCGTCGAAGCCAGATAAAACCAGATAAAAGCGGGTAAAAATATCATCTGATATCATCTGCTTTTGACCGCATCGCTATATCCGTTGGTTGTGTTTTATGTCCGGTTAGCTCATCTGTAATCATCTGTTTTTAACCGTCTTCACTGTGTTTCGTTTATATCTGAATTTGTCCGTAATCATCTGCAAACGTCT